TAAACAGGTCAGTGAGCTAAAAGAGGGAACAAATTAATGGAATTTTGTGGGAAAACTAATAGCAGGCTTATCAGGATTCACTTTTGCAAACAGCCAACTCTGGCAAGAAGAGAAGCTGGGTGTGACGGAACGTATCTTTAATTGAAGCACTCTGAGAGGCTGAGACAGGAGGGTTGGAGTTCAAGGCCAGCTTGGGCAATGTAAGAGACTTAGTGCTATCCTGTCTCCAAAAAATGAGAATAATAATAATAAAGGGAGCAGAATCTATTAGAAAAATATGCGGTGGCTCACAATGCCAAAGGAAGAGCTGAACATCCAGAGCAGCTGTGGGGATTTAGGGAGCAGGAAGAAAGGGGCAGTCTCTCCAAGGACTGCTCCCAGGATGAATGAACATCAGAATTATTCAATTTAGGCTTCATTATGTTCAAGGTCAAATTCTGAGAGAAAGTACAGTTGGTCCAACCTGTATTTTATATCTATCACTGAATCAAATGCTGCACCTGAGAGGATAGAGTGGGATGATTAGGCAGTGGCGAGCCTTGAAGGAGAGGGTGGAGAATGAACCTTTTTACTATAATTGGAAGAGAAGTTGGGTTCACAAAGGAAAACTTCTTTTTTGTTGTTTTTTGGTACCGGGAATCAAACTCGGGACCTCATGCTTGCCAGGCAGGTGCTTGTGCCGCTGAGCTATAGTCCCGGCCCAAAAAACTTCTAACTAGATAACATCAATGAAAGAACTAGGTGTGGTGACACATGTGGTGACACACACCTGTGATCCCAGCACTTGGGAGGCTGAGGCAGGAGGATCACCACAAATTTGAGGACAGCCTGGGCTACATAGTGAGTTCAGGGATGGCCTGAACTACACAGGGATACTGTGTCTCAAAAGACAAACAAACAAACAAACAAACAAAAGCAGTGAAAGAGAAGAAAGACATGAAGATAAGTTGAAGATATATAGAATTTACTAGAAGATTATAGCATTAACCAAGATAAAACACAAAAGAAGAGAATGAAGATAAGACTGTATTGGTAGGGAACATGAGATCAGCTTTGAATATAGTTGAAATGCCATCAGAACAGCAACAGGAAATTTGGGTCTTAAGGTCAGAACAAGCCTGGGTTTAGAAGTCATTTGTTGGGAGTGAAAGATAAACACCACAGGAAAGGAAAGATCACCTGATTCTTAATGCCCGTGATGCTCTGCTGCAGTAGTCTGCAGTCTTCTCGGGCTGGCCTGATTTCTGTTCTAGCCATGAGTAGTCTTGTTAGAATCTCTTTCATTGTGTTAACTCTTGAACTCAGAACTCGACTTCTCTGGTTGTAGGTCTGGTGATGTTATCTCCTAGCTGTGAGTGACCTTTTATTTTTCTAACATCCTGGAATGTCAGACTCAGCCTCTCCTGGATTGCCTATTCATGCAGTGGCTTGTGACCCAGGGCCACCTGCACGCTAGTTTTGAGGGGGTGACTTTTAAGTTAATTTAAGGCTTAATGTAGTGATATGGACTCCAAGTAGAAATGTGCAGGAAATAGAGTTAAGAGATGGACCTTGTGTGAAAGATTAAAAGTAGAGTTAGATCATCTGTATAGAGGGACAGTGACAATGGCTTCTTGAGGCCACAATTGTTAAGAGTGGAGAAATAAGAGTCCTAGGACTGACCCCTGTGGAAAACCATATTTTAAGAAGCAGGAAAAGGAAAGCAAGTCAAGAACAGACCTCAGAGGGTGGGCTAAAGAAGAGGGAGGAGCACAAGCGTTTCAGTAACTCAAGTTTCAGGGAGAATGATGGCCACGGTATAGAAAAGCCAAGAAGAGTGAATTGGAGGAAAGATCTTTAGGAATAAGGCAGTCATTGGTGATTTTGTTGATTAAAAAAAATTGCATTTTACTTAGAAGCTTTCAGAATGTCAACAAAGCAGCTCAGTATTTTTTTTTTTTTTTTTGCCATTACAGAGTGGTATTCATTTAATAGAACAATTATTTCCTATGAGCTGCATCAGAGACAACTGAAGATAAAAACTACCATCCCCATATATAATTAATTTGTGCTGTGCACCAGCAAGAACCTGCTGTAAATTTCCATGCCAGTTTTCAACCCCCGCACTTACCAGGCAAGGTTAATGGCAACTGAAAATACCACCAGGACAGGGCTATCTACGGACATGTTCGGCAGTGTGTTAACAATACGAAAGAAGACACTGCACAGTTTAAAAACAAATCTTACCCAGTCTTGCATTTCATTTGTTTTCTTTAAAAGGAGTGAGTTGTATACATGGTCATTAAATGCTTTATAGACAAAAAAACAAAACAAAACAAACAAACCTGTGCTAGAACCAACTTATTCATCATCAGCTTCTTCATCTTCATCTTCCTCCTCTTCCACATCCTCTTCATCTTCTTCATCTTCCTCTTCTTCCTTCTTTTTCTTGTTTTTTTTTCAGCCTTGACAACTCCCTTTTTCGCTGCATCAGGTTTTCCTTTAGCTTGGTAGGCAGGAATGTCCTTTTCATACTTTTCCTTCAGCTTGGCAGCCTTCTTCTCGTAAGGCTACTGTCATCTGCTGCAGTATTATTCCACATTTTCCCAGTTTCTTTACGACATCACCAATGGAGCGGCCAGGACGTTCCTGTCTGATTTGGGGGTGATATTCAGAACAGAACAAGAAGGCTGAAAGAGGCCTCTGGGAGCGCAGTTGGATCCTTGAACTTTTTTGTTTCTCCTTGAGGAGGGATATGGGTTTTCATTTTTCTTTCATAATGGGCCTTGTCTGCCTTTGCCATGGCTTCAAATTTTTCTTTCTCTTTAGCAGACATGGTCTTTGCGAAGTTAACGGAAGCATCTGGGTGCTTCTTCTTGTGCTCCTCTCGACAAGTTTGCACAAAGAATGCACATGATGACATTTTGCTTTTCCTCAGCTTCTTGGGCTCTCCTTTGGCCATGTGTATGTGTTTTCCTCAGCAAGGCTCAGAGTCACCCAGTGCCTGACCAGCTCTCACTTGCCCCAGCTGTTTCTATCCATTGGTGAGATTTGTAAGTTTTATTGATGGGATGGGAGCCAGATTTGAGAGAGTTGGAAGAACGAAAGGTGAGGAAGCAGGAGCTGGTCACACTAGCACATGATTATTGAGCGCAATGCTGTGCCTGTGTTGTTGGAAACATATTATCACTGTTCATCCAGAACATCAGGTCCAGTGGAGACAGTAAGGAATCCATGAAAATGTTCATTCCAGTAAATTCAGAAGATGTCGTAAGGTGGACAGCGGTTGATGGCCTAATACATTTAATGAACAATATGAGTACACTTGATCAGAGTGAAAAGAGGATGCTTTAGTTTGGATTTTTTTTTTCTGTTCTAGTTTCTCAGAGCCTGATTATCTTTTGTTGTTGTTGTTAAGGTCTTCCAAATTTTTTGAGCTAAGAAGCAGAGAATCAAGACTATTGATTCAGTAAACGTCTGAATGTTCTGTATACCCAGAAAAGTAGCCTGTGAAGCCTTGAGCCAGAGTTTTGTGATAAACCAGTAGGGTCTTCTAGTCTCCCCCTGAATTCTGCCACAAAGTAGATGGTTTTAATAGTAAGAGTTAGAAGCTATGTGGGGCAAGGGGTAGTTGTGGTGAGTCAAGCTACCTGTACTAATGGGAAAAATAGAGGTCTAAGAGGCACTGTAAGTACAAGATTCCAGCTGAAAATGGAATAGTCAGGCTTCTAGTCATGCTTGGAAGCTTTGAAGCTTTGAGAAGTTGAAGAAGTGGAGCATATAGTGTTTTCCCCACTAGTTAGGTGGAAATGTTGCATCTTCATTCTTTTCAGTTACCGCCTTAAGGTTGGAAGAGGAAACACTTTTTTTTCTGTATTAGTAAATAACACTAATATTTGTTAGGCTAACTGTAAAAGGGAGCACCAGCCCAGAACTGGCTGATGAAAAGAATAGAGGGCACTTCCTCCCGGATGGTATGGAATGCATCATTTTTCCTTCTTGTTATGTTAACTTGAAATGCTTTTGGTTTTGAGGAGAGACTAAGTAGGCTCTCTTAAATCCTGTCACTAGATAAAACTGTTCTCATAGCAGATAGTTCTGCCTTCTAAACAGGGCTTTGTCTGCCTTTCAGTGTAGTGGACTGCTTTCCTCTGAGAGAAACTTTTTCCTTTAACCTCATGTTATTTTTGTAGATATTTGCCCAGAGCCACATGACTAAGTTGGAACTCAAACAAGATTTTCTAAATGGTAGAACTTGAGCACTGTGCTTCAGGAATTGCGCATAAGGGCTGGCGGGGGTGCAGCTAAGTGGCAGAGCACTTGCCTGGCTTTTGTGAGGCTCCAGGTTTAATCCCTAGTACCACAGGGGGGAGAATTGTACAGAGTGCTCTCAGAAGTCAAGAGAATCATTTTTCTTATTGTGCCGTGGTTAGCTAGCACCATGAATACGTGTATAATTTCTCTTCTGCACACTTTCTCTAATTTCTCTGACTTAGGATATTGAATTTTCAGAATTATCCAGCTCTGAAATTTTAGAATATATTGCACTACTAGAGTAAGCCTGATGATAATAGTAGCATGTTTTTCCCTCGCTGAAGCTAATGACCTAGAACATTTTTCTTTGAAGACCTTGTTTCAAAAGGAGAAAAATTGTTCAGAATAAATGGAGTAAACATGAGAGTCACTGAAATTGCTAGGATATTAGGGAACCAGGGCAGTGAGGTACAGTGAAAGCACTGAACTAAAAGTGGAGATATCTAAGGTCTTGTCACAGTATTGATATTAACTCACTGTAAAACCTCGATCTATTCTGGGTCTTAGCTTTCCCACTCATAAAGTCAAAACACTGAATAACATCTCTAATTTCCCACTATGTAGTTCCAGGATTAATTCCTAGAATAATTATCCACTGTTATTACATTTCTTATTCTATGATTCAGATAGATCATAGTGATGTTTCTGTCCATTGCCTGGGAGTATTTGCTGCTAAATTGGCGGGGTTGTCTGATATTTCTAAACAGAGCACAGACTGTGACTTCTGACCAAGAAAAACAATTGCTGCATCAGCTTCGAGAAATCACCAGGGTCATGAAAGAAGGAAAGTTCATGGACAGATCCACTCCTGAGAAAGAAGCTGAGGAAGCCCCTTACATGGAGGATTGGGAAGGTAAACAGCATCTTCTCATTTCTTCATAAACTGTCAGGCCAGGAAAGAGATCTTCAACACTTTTAAAAATCAGTTTTATTATTGATGTATTTTATATATATACACACAAATATATGTAATAATTTTTACCAGTTTTAAGTATACGATTGGATGAGTTTTGTCAAATGTATATAATTATATCATCAAACCACAATCTTGGCACAGGACATTTCTTTCACCCTAGAAAATCACCTTTTCCTGCCTCTGTCAACAACTGAACTACTTTCTGTCCCCATGGTTTGCTTTTTGTACACAAATGGACCATCCTCCATAGGCTCTTTGGTTTCTGGCTGCTTTGATTTAACGTAATGCTTTTTAGATTCATGCTTGTTGTTGAATACTCAGCAGTTCTTTTTTGTAATTGCTGAGTAGTATTGTGTTACATGGATGTGCCATACTTTGTTTATACATTCTCCAGTTGAGGAGCACTTGAGTTGTTTCTAGCTTTGTACTATTATGAATCAAGCTGCTATGAAGTTTTACAAGGCTTGGTTTGGACATATATTTGGTATTTCTTTTGGGTGTATGCTTGGGAGTGAAATTTGTAGAGTTTATGGTGAGTTTATGTTTAACTTCTTTAGAAACTGTCTGCTTAGTTTCCAAAGTGGCTGTCATTGTAGCTCCACCAGATCCTTGCTAACATGATATTGTCGGTCTTTTTAACTTTAGCCACTCCAGTGAATATGTCGTGGTTTTTCAGTTGTGACTTTAATTTGTATTTCCCCAGTCACTAATGATGTTAAGCATTTTTTCATGTGGTTACTTGTCATCTGTGTGTCTTTTATGAAGTATCTGTTCATATTGTTTGCCATTTTTTTAAAAATTGGGTTATATTCTTACTAAGTTTCACGAGTTCTTTATATATCCTGAATACAAGTAAGTTCTTTACCACTGTGTATTTTACAAATATTTTCTCCTAATCTGTGGCTTGCCCTTTTATTTTCTTAGCACCATGTTTCAAAGAGCAGTGTTTAATTTTGATGAAATTAATTTATCTTTTTTCTCTTATAATTCACATTTTTTTATATTCTAGTTAAGAAGTCTTTTCCATCCCAAGGTTTGTCTAATTTTGGTGTTTTCTTTTAGAAACCTCATGGTTTCAGCTCTTATATTTAAGCTCATGATATATTTTGAGTCAATTTTTGTAGATGATATGAGGTATCAGGACTTAGGCTTATGTTATATATATATATATGTATTTTTTTCAATATAATACCCAGTTGTTCCAGTTCCTTTTGATACACTTGATTACTTTGGCATATTGGCTGAAAGTCATTTAAGCAATGTATCTATTCTGGACTCTGTTCTGTCTGTTGATCTATATGTTCTTACACTGATTATCACAGTGTCTTTATTACTATGTCTTTGTAGTAACTCTTAAAATCAGGTAGTACAGGTTCAATTTTTTCAAAGTCATTTTGGCTATTTTAGGTTTTTCACTTTTTTTTTGGTTTTTCATATTTTCACATAAATTTATAATCAAAGTGTTTCACATTTTTATATAAATTTATAATCAAAGTGTTGGGATTTTTTTTTAATGAAAAAACCTGATGGGATTTTGATTGGCATTGCATTGAATCTTTAGATCTCTTTGTAAGAATTGATATTGTAACAATGTTGAATCTTCCAATATCTTACATATCTTCACTTAGGTAAATCTTTAAAAATTTTTCTCAGTATTGCTTTGAAGTTCTTAGTGTATATGTCTTTCTTTCCAGTATATAGGTCTTGTACATATCTATAAAGTTATCCTTCAGTAGTTCATATTTCTTCTGTCATCACAAATGATGTTTTAAAATTTTTAATTGCTTGCTGCCACTAGAATAGAAATGTGATTGATTTTTATATTCTGACCTTGTATCCTATAACCTTGTTTAATATATCTAGTAGCTTTTAAAAAAAATACATCTCTTAGGATTAGATTCATTAGGATTTTCTATATAGATCAACTTGTCTTTGAATAAGGACAGTTTTACTTCTTCCTTTTATGTGCATGACTTTTATTTGCTTGCTTTATTGCACTGACTAGCACAGCGCTGAATAGAATTAACACCCTTACTTTCCTGATATCAGGGGCAAAACACACCTTCTCCATAGATTTGTTTGTTTGTTTGTTTGAGGTTGAGGAAGTTACTTCTAATCCTACTTTGCTGAGAATTAAGACTAAAATGGATGTTGAATTTTTAAAAATGGATTTAAATCAATTTAAAATGGATATTGATTTTTGAAAAAATCATCTGCGATGATCGTATATTTTTGTTTTAGCCAGTTAGTATGATGGATTACATTGTGTGTGTGTGTGTGTGTGTGTGTGTGTGTGTGTGTGTGTCCAGGGCCCTTCACATGCTCTACCAACTGAGTTACATCCTCAGCTCCTGTATTGTTTAATGTTTAAAAAATTGTACATTCCTGTAAAAAAAAAAAAAGCCCACTTTGTTATGATGTTAGGACTAGATTCACTGTATAAGATTCAGGATGCATATGGCTAGATCAGTTTGCAAAGGATTTTTTTTTAAGTACCTGTTTATAGGGGCTATTGGTGATACTCTTTTCCTGTACTATCTTTGGTCTTTATTTCAGGCTGTATTTTTTTTTTCCAGAAGAATCTGTGCAGAATTGTTCTATTTTATTAATTGTTGCTGTTAATTGCTTACTGTGCCTAATTTATAAATTAAACCTTATGAAAAAAAACTTTATGATAATTATATATCGGAAAAAAACAGTATACATAGAGTTTGGTACTATCTACAGTTTGGGCATGTACCATCTTGGACGTATCCCCTCACTGATTGGTGGGGAGGGCACTGTAGTGCATTATGCCATTTCATTTACCATATTTTTCAGCTCCAGAATTTTATTTTTTAGTGTATAACTTCAATCACTGTTAATAGCTTCTTTTGGTCATTTATTGTTTTCCTGACTTTATTGAATTGTTTGTACAGTATTTTGTTTGCTACACCTCATTAAAAATGGATATGGTCTGGGACTGCATAATGATATTTTGGTCAATGACAGATCACATGTACAAATATAGCAGTAGTCCACAAGTATAATGGAGCTAAAAAAAATTCCTGTTGATTAGTTACATCACAGTTATTATAAATGTCATAGCCCAATGCATAACTTGTTTGTAAAAATACTGATATAAACAAACATTGTATTATTACTCATAAAACTATAGCACACAATTATGTATAATATATAATAAATGTTATTGGTTTATGTATTTAGTTTTTATTTTAGAGTGTAGTTTGACTTATATAAAAATTTACTGTGAGGGCTAGGGATTTAGCTCAGTGGCACAGCGCCTGCCTGGCAAGCACAAGGTTGTGAGTTCGATTCCCAGTACCAGAAAAAACCAAAAAAAAAAAAACCAAACTAAAAAATTATTACACTAAAGATGTATTGCTATTACTCTCACTCCAAATACTTCCCACCACTTTGAACACACTGACCGTGCCAATCCACTTTTTGAAGCAGCTC